ATCTATCTATCTATCTATCTATCTATCTATCTATCTATCTATCTATCTCTATCTAACTATATACATCATCTATGTTCTCACATAATATCTCAGTGTGACTGGTGATTAATTTATGATCTGAATTAGATTTGAAAGGATTGCCATTTTTTCTCATTAATTATTTGAGCAGATATCTGTTCATAGCTTGGCATGTATGAGAAATCATGTAGCTCCACTAGTAATTATTTAAACACAAGGAACCTTTGGGCTGATAGTAGTTAAATGCCACAAATGTAATGATGTAGAAATATTCCCTAAGCTGAGGCTTACCAGCTATGTTGAACTTGTATTACTTCAATTCTACGGCATTATCCAATTCTATAAATTTTATGAGCTGAATATTTTAGGCATTATACTCCGAATATATTCGGAGGATTGAAGAAGATGCTTCCAGGGAAATCAACTTAATGCCAGGCATGGAGATCCTATTCACAACATAATGGAAGAGCCATGACCATTAGTACTGTATTAGTTACAGAACCTGCATATATAAAACCTTTAAAAAAATACTCAGGCTAGTTGGACCAATGACTAATTGGACAGTTTATTCTAGATGCAGAGCATATCCTACAAAAGCATGATGAGTGAAGGCAACAGAAATCCAGGTAAAAAATGATGATACTGGCACAGAGTGGGAAGTGAGGTATGATGTTGGCTTAACATGGGCAGTAGGTAAGGGTCATGCATTGAACTGGCATTAGTTAAGACACTCTGAAAAATTAACTATCCAGAGGTTCTACATGAACATTGGTCCTTCAAACAAGACAAATTAAGTCAGATAAGGGAAAACACACATTAGTCTTTATTATTATGAAAGTATCAAAACATAAAACATAATAAAAACAAACCATCTTTATTGTATTATTAAATGTTCAAATAAAAATAGATAAATACATTCATGCAATTCTCCCATTCAAATATCTCCTAACCACCAGTAGCTGATCTTGTAGGGGTTTGCATATGCTTCAGATAATAAGGGAAAATTCCACCATGATCATATCTACAGTCATTACAAACAGGCAAAGTTACATCAGGTGGATTTTCTCTGACATAGAGCTATCAGAGTACAGTCCCGAAAATAAAATAGGATTACAGAATATTTTACACCCAGTCTTTCTGTCCATTATTCTCTCAAGCAAAGAAAAAATAATATATCACTGTACCATCCTGAGGCACATACTGTGTCTAAACTCAAATGAACTAACGTGCAGCCACAGCTAAAAAAGAAATATCTTTGACAAAGGTAGCAATGCCTTAGTAAACATTTGGCATGCTAGTTAACATTTGTGTAACTTGAAGCAACAGCAGCAGCAGCAGCAGCAGCAGCATGACGCCAGCGTCATTTTAAATAGGATATGAAACACGCATAGAAAAATATTTAAGGGAAAAATCTTAATTCTCTCATGAAATGTCTATATAACTTGATACATAAAACAGCATCAGAAATTACTTCTTTGTTTGTTTGTTTTTTGGATGGCTTTTGGAAACAGTTGAAATATATGTACAGGGGTCTGTAATTGCCTTTGGGAGTATTATATTGTGCTAATATTGAAGGTAACTTTATTACCTTGAGAAGGGCCTTGAACTCAGGGAGTCTTTGTAGAAGTGGAAACTATCTTCTGCTTACAAAAGATCTACTCCATGTCTATGAGATTCTAGATCATTAATTAAACAAAATGAAAACAAATCTTCCAAAGTAGAAGAAATATATTGTAATTGTGAAAACTGGAATAGGATGACAAGAAGATTCATCAAAGCAAATATATCAACTCCCACCCAAACAAACAAGAAAAAGAGTAAAGGAGCTTACAAGATTGACTGACACATATGTAAATTTATATGCAGAAATACACATTTGAAAACAATCCCTAGCATGTAAGTAATAATACAGTACATCTCACTGAATTGGGAGGATTTGAACTAATTCCTTCATGTAGTAGCTTGGTCTACTGCATGAAGATTAATTGAGCATAGATAATTTCTAGATCTTTCCTCCTTTTTTTAAGTGACTCTCATTTACTCTCTGCTCTGGCCATGTTTCTCAACTTTCATGTTGAGAACAACCTTCACCAAAGCAAGGAACATGTTACTCTAATGAAGGCACCTATTGGGATATTCTTCTGTGCCCTTTGAAGCATAGGCTACATATTTCCTTCCACTTTTCATTTTTGGATCTAGTTCACAGCATCTATCTGGAGTGATTGCTTTCAGAGGCAACAGTTACAGAAGGTTATATGCTGTATAATCATATATAACTACAGAGGTCGATAGAATCATTGTTAAATAAACCCAATTTATTCAGCTGCTAGAAGTTAGCAGTCATATAATACCCCTCCATATAGTTTAGTCAATGAATTGATTGATATACAAAAGCCACTGGAATATATTGTCAAACATGGTGGTTTAAAAAAACTTTCAGAAAAAGCCATTTTGGATGCTGGAAGAAAAAATATTTCTCTAAAGAGACAGAATTTGGCCCATTTCCTTGTATTTTGGTTACATTAAATATATATGTATTTGGAACATAGTAATGTAATGGACATAACAATATATCCAGATTACTGAAAGCATATCAAATACTTCTATTGCAGAATGTAAAGATTAGTGTGAGGTAAGAAATAAGCTAGTCAAAACTGAGAGTCTACATTTTGATGTTGCTGTTTGAGGATTGTACATGCATATGAATTTTAACAGAAGTAATGCTTGGACAAAGTATTCTTTTTGCAAGCTATTTACTCTACTTCTTCAATTCTGCCATTAAAGAAAATAGATCTCAAAGACATACAAATATTATACCTAAAAGAGTTGAGCAATTTTCTTTTTTTTAAAATATATGCCATATTTTAAAATCAAGTTTTTTTCAAAGCAAGAATTAAAACTTGAGCTCTCCAATTTAAATTTATAACATATTCCAGAAAACATTTGAACTTTTATTCATTTTTGTAATTTTGTTTTGAAATTTGTAAAGAAGTATATAGGTTTTGAAAACAAACCCTTCAATTTTCCAGAATTTGAGATCTAAAATGATATTCAACATCATACAGACTTCCTGGTTCAATTTTATTTTTTATTACAAATATGAATAGTTAAAATCTGAGACATAATATTCTTGTTCATTTTAGGAATATGCTCACTGTAAAGCCTGGGAACTGAGGCTGGCCTTCTGAACAAGGCATATGGTATCTGGAATTAATTCTCCTTTCCCATCACTTCTGAATAACAATGATTGGCACTGTTGAAGTTAGTCATATTGTAGACCAGGGGTGTCAAACTCACAGCCCGCGGGCCAGATGAGTCATATGCTGGCCCCACCCCTGCCCAGTTTAGCGAAGGGAAAAAAGCCCCTTTATATCACATGACGATGTTGTGACAATGTGAGTTTGACACGCCTGTTGTAGACAGTTGAAGGATTGGGCTTGGTGTTTTATCTCAGTCAGGGCTTCAACCATAAGGTTCATCTGTGAAGAAATCTATTGGGAATAAGGGAAGAATCATAGCATCTGCTTCCTATGCAAGAGGTCCCAGATTTAACCTTCTATATTTCAGTTTAACCAGGATGTGAAGGAGCAAAGGTGGGAACATCCTCCTCCTCAGTCCTTTGTTGCTATAATTTATCAGGGCAGAGTGCCCAGATCAAAATTACAGTTTCATCTAATTATAGCTTCATAATATTTCACCATATGTTTCACTCTAAGCCAGTGTTTCTCAACCTTGACAGTTTTAAGAAAGGTGGACTTCAACTTCCAGAGTTCTGGGAGTTGAAGTCTACCCATCGTAAAGCTGCCAAGATTGAGAAACACTGCTCTAAGCCAGTCATTCCTCCACCTGAAAACAGTAAGAATAATACAATCATAGCACCTCCCAGGGATAACAGAACGTTAGAAATAATACATTGGTCATCCAAAAGGAATACTCCCACAAAGCCTAGTGTGCATTGTCTCTTGATCATGCTGGTTGGGAATTTGGAGAATTTAGCTATTACATATCTAGAAGAAAGACCTGCAGAAGAACACTTTAAGGAGTTTTAGCCAAAAGTTAACATTGCCAGTTAAACAGACTATTATCTTTGTTGTTAACATTTACTTTTGATTATATGGAAGGCCAATGCTGGTTTTTAAGGTATGCTCCCATAATTCTAAGAAGATCCAGATTTTATTGTCCATATATCAGCCCAACATGGATTGAGACTCAGAAGCTGGCTTAAATACAACTAGGAAGCCTCCAGTACTAGTTTCTACTACTTTACAGAATGATGAAAGAAGTATCTCCTGGGCTTGCTTTGAAGTTCTTAAGAAGTAGTCAAGGTTCTTGGGCTACTTCCTCACCAGTCTTCAAAGGGATATGGTCAGTAAAGCATCCCTTTAAAGTGGCATTCCCCAGACCCATTTCTAAAAGCAAAAAGGCCATGTTACATCATTTTATTGGTTTTGTCTATTTTCTCTGACAAGTTCATTAGATGAAAGATGTCTCTGCATGAACAAGAGCTTCTTCTGGTGCTGCCAGGAGCTGACTCGAAGTCTCTTCTGACTCATGGATCTGTCAGGAAAGGATTCAAGGCAACCCCAAATCCAGGCTCACCAAGGAGAATTGTGTCACCTTGACCCATGAAAAGAATAGCATTGCTTTTGTGATCTGAATCATTCCATCAAAGCAAATCCAAACCACAGAGCCCACCTTTACTGTACTTTTTCATCTCTATTCCTAGCAGAGCCATACTCTTCATCTGTGGACAATGTTTTAACTTAATCAATGTCTACATATAAATCAATATTTGTAAATTGCCAGCAATTACATTCTCTGGTTCTGAAAAAGTTTGTGCCAAGGAAACATTTGTAAGATGAAGATCAAGGACAAGATAAATCACAAGTCAGGAAAACATACAATTTTACATCTCTAGTGATTATACCACGGTTGTATAACATTCTTTTGAATACTGCATGTGACTCATTAATTGAGTTTTGAAAGGGACATTCCACCTTCTTAAAGTAAGCCAAGAGTGCTTAACTCAGTGAGCAATTCTGCAATACACTGAAGCTTGTCCTACAATCATCTCTAACTTGAATAATCGAAAACCCATAGAAGGGCTTTTATAAAAACATTTTTAGCAAAGTGCAGTGCCCACGTTAAATCTTGCATTAGTTGTAGAAACATAGCAATTCCCATTATATTGCAATGCCTTTTGGAACTGAAAACAGAGTTCTGGAAGTTGCTAACCTCCTTTCTTTGAAAGTATAAAACAAAACAAACAGAACACAACCCAGTCCACCTACATTCCCTATCTAGCGAGTGGAATCCTTTCAGCTTGGCAGTTCATCAGATGTGCATCATAGAGAACCCTTCGGCCCTACCAGAAACATTGCAAGTGCATGCCACCAGGAGTTTAATGCATGCCAGTAGTCTAGAGCCATATTGCTTCTAGGATAGCAAGTGTGGCAGCTGGTTAGACCTGGAGCAAAGGTTGTGACTCTCTTCCACCCAACTGAGTCTTCGCTAAGAAACGCTGAAGCTAAGCTACCACAGTCCTTTCTTCTCAGCAAAATCATGTCAGATCCATCTTCTCTTGACTAAATGGAGGCCACAAAGGCTGAAATATCTTCTCCGTGGCTTCTGACTTGGGATGGCAAGTTGTTGTTTTAATGATAAGAAGCATGGCTAAAGAACATTGTTATTGTTATTGTTTAGCCTTGCAAGGTTCCCTCTTTGATCTGCTGAATGAAAAGGTTCCTTTCATCCTCTGGGGTCCTACCATTCTGGGCACGGACAATACAGGTGGGTCTATGTAGGTTGAGCATGTAGATCAAGTGCTGCTTCTCATTTTTCAACTCTTCAATCTGAGCTTTCAATTCTGCATTGATTGTTTCCAGTTTTTCTGATTCCTGGTAACAGAAGAAAGGTATAAACATAGAAGTGGAAGTTTTAAAAATGCAAGTGAAAAAACAAATGTAGCTGAGGGCTCATTCACATGACAATATGAACAGGGAAATATGCTATGGACACCCATTTTCTGTCAAGGTTACATAGATTATTATGATGGTTTCCTCTTTGTATCCTTTCGCCTCAGCTTTAATCTTTTGATCTCTATGCAGAATTCTGCAGCTAAAATTATTCACTTCCCCCATGTTCAGACAATTTTTCATATACCTTAAATGCCTTCTCATTCCTTTCCATGCTCCTTTTACAAGCTATTATCTTCCTACCCACAGCATATCTTTTTACTTTTCCAATTTTAAATTTCCCACAAGAACCTTCTGTTTCTTTAAGTTGAGCTCCACCAAACAAATTCCTGTCTTGTGATACAATGGTTCAATGGAGTAGAGTGGAATTCATGACAATTAAAATACAAAACACAGAATAATAGGGTTGGAATGGACGTTTGGGGCCTTCTAGTCAAATTCTCTGATCATTTATAGTTCAGTCACTGTATCTCAACCTGTAGGGTAGGTGTGCTGGGAAAACAACTAAGCAAGGCAATCTAAAGTAGAAGGAAGATATAAACTTGATGAATAAATAAATTTTCTATTATTATCACGACCTCTATTTTCTGCAATCTGGTGCTCTCTATTAATTTTTGAGATAGCTGGGAAATATAAGAGATGCAGTCCAATACAACCAGAGGAGGGGAGGGAGGAAAAGAAGGAAAGAAGGAAGGAAGGCTCCCATTTTAAAGATCAGTTATTCAGAGAGAAAAAAATAGCTTTTATTTCAGATAACCTCAGTATTTAAAGCATGAGACCTTTGAGGTAGTGACTTGTCTTTGGGGAGTTTTTTTTCCCTGTAAAACTTTCTGTTATTGTATTTAACTACAAGTACAGTATCTTGAAAATTGTTTAAATTTTAAAAGAAATGATTTTCCATTATTACTTGGGCTAGAAACCTTAATTAATTAAGCACTTCTAAAGTACTTCTAAAGCTTTAGTGTAAGATTTTACATTATCTCTCCAGATTGATGAGCCTGAATAATTTCACCTTTAACAAGTTAACCAATGTTATAATTAATCAGCAACTCACAGTGAAAATCTTCACAGTTATTTTATCCATGGAATTTTAAGGACCTTTTCACCTTAAATAGATGTGTTTATATTTCACATATATTAATTAGAAAGTATTGGTTAACTTACTTTCTGCAGGCATTCTGTTTTTTCCTTCTTTTTGTTTCGACATTTTGCTGCTGCAATCTTATTTCGTTCTCTCCGACGTTTTTTCCTATCATCTTCCTGGGGTGCACACTAATAGAACCCAAAGAGATCAGGATTAGATGGTTATCAGTAAAAAAAAGGGGGGTGGGGTGTTTGCAAGAGAGAAACTCGTTCCCTATAGATGTTATAATAGCTGTAAGTCTGATTTGTTCCTTGTCAACCAAATAACTAACTCGTTACTTTGGCCCTTTAACCTTGTATGAAACAGAATAGAAATTGTCTGGCATAGAACATCATAGGAACATAAAAAGTTCATATACAGTGAGTCAGAAAACCTATGAGAAGATTGATGTATGAAAACCTTGAAGAAGTTTCCCTATAGTTTCCAAATCATGTCAAATATACTTGGATTTATCTGATCTACTAAAGAGAGTAGGTTCATTCTGAATTTTCTTCTCTAAGCAGGTTTAAGTCCTAATAAGGATTATCTTCAAAAACCATTCCCTGCCAGAGCACAACCTTACAACCTAGAATACTAAAAATGATGCCTCTGAGCATGATGGAATGTCTTTTCTTATTATAGAGAAAAAGAGTTTTCTTTCTCCTCTTGCCTTCCTTTATAATTGGAATTATGGAGAAAGAACATAGGAAGTATTATCAACTCTCCATTAAAGTCTCATACTGTCCTTTTCTTTAAAAAAAAGGTGCCAGAGAATGAAGAATTTCTATGTGCAAAATGAATTACATTGTGATATAATCCTTTTTGAAAAGCATGTGACCAACGAATGTATGAAGTGTATTATACTGCATAAGTATAAAATCTGTAACAGTTACAGGGGCCTTCGTTTGCTTAACGTCTTCCAGATTCAGATCACAACTCCAACACTGTTTGCCTTTCATGAAGGCATTCCCATTCGAGCACATGAAGATCATTAATGCAAATGCCAAAGGGACTAACCAATTTGTCACAACAGGTGGCAGCACCTACCCAACCTTGTCTGATCTTGAAAGCTAAGCAGGCATAGGTGCCCAGGAAGGCAGCAAGTGTCAAAATTCATTATGAGACAAACTTTGCATTTTATGTTCTAGTGTGTGGCCTCACTACTTTATATTTTGATGTCATCATGGTTAGATAAGATATCTAACATAAGCAAGTTTGGATCTCATTATTATTGTATGGAAAATCATTAGGGAATCCTAATGTATATTAGACTGGGAAATTAAAGTTCTCTCTCTCTCTCTCTCTCTCTCTCTCTCTCCCTCCCTCCCTCTCTTTCTCTCTCTCTCTCTCTCCTGTCTGTCTGTCTGTCTTCTGGAAGAAGGCAGTAGCACGCTACTTTCATCTAATTAAGTGAAGTCAATTTTGATTTAAGAGAAAGTCACTGTTGTTACTAACTTTATAATAACATTCTTATTTATATAATGGCGTAATTATGATAATGGATGAGTGGATGAAAAAGCTGATGGAACTAGCAGAGATGGCTAAATTAAATGGTCTAATCAAAGAAAATAATATACCCAACTCTATTTCTCTTTGGAAACCACTTCTGGATTTTGTGCTTAAGTTGGGGGGAAAATCAAACTTTGATTTTGGATTTTGCTGATTAGATAAGTTTGTTGTTATAGAAATGACTAATACATATTAAATATGTAAAAATGAAATGTTGAGACTGTAATATTTTATTCCACTACCCTAAAGAGAGTCAAAAGTCAATGCTTTTCTTTTTCCCCTTTACACTTTTCCATCCTTTCCCTTACTCATTTTCCAACTATTTTTATTTTCATTTGTATTTTATACCTTCATAAGTTTAATTAAATTATTATAAAAATGATAATAATGATAATAATAATAATACAGAGGAAAGACATTCTCTATTTTCAGAAAGTGGTTGAACATAACTTAAAAATAAAAATAAAGTACCTCTCTTTTTAAAATAGATGTTTCACCAGATCTATCAGAAACCATGACTGTATCCAAGGTGGAGGGCATCCTCTGAGAAAGGCACTTATTCTGGATGGCAAATTTTAATTCCTCTTTTACCAAAGGGGTCAGATTTGTGAAATCTTCAAAGCCCAGGGAAACCGGAGGAGACAAGCATGGAATAATTGCAGAAGCACTGACTTCTGAAGCAGACACCTGGCCCAAGTGTTGGAGCATCATTTTGCTGCATGGGAACAAGAGAGAGAAGAATGAATTTTTTCCAAAGTTTAATGAAGCAAAAAAAAAAAAATGCCTACAGCATAGTTAATTCAGTTAATACAGAATTCAGAAAATCAATCACTGAATAATCAGATTCTGGCTCATAACTGGTTATTGGTAGAATGATTATATATTTGCATGCAGAACAGCATTTATTCAGTCATTGTATTTATATAGCTACCCATCTCAGTTTTTTGACTCCGGGCAGCTTACAATGCAAAACCTTTTAAAAAACCCTAGTAAAATCACATTACAATAAAGCTGAGAGTCATTCATTCATGTTGGACTCAACTAATAAACTAGCCCTAGTGCTGAGTGAAAAACCAGCTCTTTAAGGCTTTTCAGAGGACTAACAGAGTTGGGGCTGCCTAGATCTCAGAGAGATGCTACAGGAGGGGGAAATCATTTAACTGTCTCGCTTAGCAACAGAAATTTGGGGCTCAGCTGTGGTTGTAAGTAGAGGACTCCCTGTAATTCAACTAGAAATTGAGGACATATTTCCTCAAACCATCAGGTAGCAATCTTACTATATGAAAATACTGAATAAATAACTGTTAATAATAGTACTGATTTAGGAATACTGTGCATTGAAAAATATTAGACTGAATGAGTACTTGTGCAATAAGACCACTTGAATTCAAACAACTGGATTCTAATTAATATTGATGTCTCCTCTTTAGATAGTTAGGATCTGCACATGAAATTATCTTATGTTGTCTATGAATTTTAAATACACTATGAATTTTAAACACCAAATCACTGCAGTGAATAGTCAAGTAGTTTGGAGTGAGGTGTTTTCTTCCTTAGTCTTTATTGGAAAAAATATATTTGGGACATATAAAGACAGAATTATTTATTTGTCTCCTTAACTAGGTAAGGAAATCTACTTTGCATATTAATTACAGTATAATCACAGCAATATTACAATTCACAATTCGTAAACCAATTTTTGCCTTTGGGATTGATATAGTCAAGCAAATCCAATAAGCTGTTAAATAGAATTTAGTTTATGCATTATCTTTTGCAATTTCAGGTAACAGTTAGTGTTTGACAAGTCCAATTATGATTGCTTTATTTAAAGTGGTATGTTAAAGATCAAATTCAAATCAAGTCCAAATTTACTTATGAAATAAAATAAAGACTTGCAGTCTTTATTTACTTCTTTAATGCTTGTATTATGTCCACACAATTTCTAGGCCTTCAAACTACACACAACCAGTAAACACAGAAAGCACCTCCACATACAATTAAACATGTACTCTATCTCAATATGGACATGGACATATGCTTTGCTACTTGAAAAAGACATAAATGCATTGGAAATCCATAGTCAGCTGTTACAGCAACATATAAGCATTTGACAATACAGAGTGTCTATCTTTGCACCACTGTATTTTCTGTGTGACAATAAAATGGTGTATAGACCTAACCTCAAACAAGAAAAGTAGAAAGCTAAATGGTTTCAGGTCTCTTGATCATCAGAGGAATGATTTACATAGATCTTGAGAAAAATATGTAATTTTGCTAAGAAATGCCCTAAACCATGAGTCACTGTTCAAAATCCTGATATTCCTTAATGGTTTCAAGAGACAGAAAATACCAAGCCAACAAAGGTTTACTATGCTCAGTTTATTATTTAAACCTTCAACTCAGATGGTAATAATAAGCTGCTCCTAGCATTACCCACAATTGTTTTTTTTAAAAAAAACAGTTGATGCATGCACATCTTTCATTTGTCATAAGGATATAATTCTGGATGGGATATACAGAAAAAGCATATCATAGCTTTTTAGGGATAGGAACCTGCCTTATAAAGTTGAAAAACTCATGCCGACAAGAAGATTTATTTATTTACTTCACTATAAAAATGGGTAACTTTATACAGACACGCAGGCACACACACCCTGGTCTCATAATTAACTGTGGCTTATAGGTGTCTCATAAGAATGTCATTTCCTAATGTTCCATTCCTTACATTGCCATCAGGGTATTGTTGGCTTCATCACTACTTCTTGGGAGTTTGGGGACTAGCTAGGGTCTCATTACATCAATCTTGTGGTAGAGAAACAGCTGAGAAATCTGGCAATACAACAGCACTTTTGAGAGAATTACTACAACTTCAAGGCTATAATAATGCCATCCCAACAACCACATTGCACTTGATCACATTCTCAGCTGTGTTTCAGATGGCAGATTGAATTCACTGTTCTTTCCTCACTGCTAGGTAACTCAAATTAGGTTCTCACATCTCAAATTTGATAATGCACTTCCTGAATCAGGGAAGCAGTTTCCCAAGATATATTGAGTCCTGTACAGTGACATGGGCCTTTTTGTATGTCTGTTACAACTCCAAGCTTTCTCATGGATGGTGGAAAGAAAGAAAGGCATTTGCTGTACATTGCACCCCAGAGATGGCATTAGGGGTAACATGATAGTAGTGTTCTGATATCTAAGGGGCTGCCATAGAGAAGTGGGGGTCAATCTGTTCTTCAAAGCACCTGAAGGCAGGTCAAGAAGCAATGGAAACTATCAAGAAGAGAACCTATCTAGAACTAATGAGAAGCTGTGGGTGCTCCATCACTGGAGGTTTTCAAGAAGAGACCAGACAGACGTTTTTCCAGAATGGTATAGACTAGAATCTCCTACTTGAGCAGGAATTTTGACTAAAAGACCTCCAAGTTTTCTCCCAACTGTTATTTAGCATTTTGTATGGATAGCATAGCTGAATGTGCAGTAAGAATACATTCTGTTCAGAAGTGGGGAATGGCATGCCTCTACAATCAACATGGTGAGAACATTGTGATAAGGAATCAAAGTGACTGGACAATCATTGGTCAGAGCTGATGAAAACTGTAGATCAACACATATGAAGGAGTTTAGATTAAGGAAGCTAAATGGATTGTTAACTCTGTACATCAAAAGGTCTTCCCTTTATCTTCATTACCTTATGTCTTCTAATAAAAGAAATCAGTTTTGGGAATTAGGCATATCAAAGGGCCTACTCTGTCACATCATTGCTTTCGAATCACAAGTTATTATAATACTTTATTTATTCATTTATTTGCAGTATCATTAATGATTTGTTTGATTTATAGGCTGCCTGATCAATTGTGACTCTGGGCAGCATACAATATATGAAATTTAAAACAATGCAGCTCACACAATAGGAAAATATCTAGAAAAATCAATAGAATCCTACAGATAATACAAATAACAATGGAGAGGGTTGGGGACGATATCATTCCAGGAGTTAGGTGCTATGGGGGAAGGGAGAATAGGGCATATTTATGTTTGCTGTTTTCTCTCTTACAACCAGTGGTGGGATACTGCTGGTTCAGACTGGTTCTAGAGAACCAGTAGCTCCGATGATCAGCTGGTCCCACCTATATGCCCCCGCCCTATCCTGTCCTATAATTATGCATGTTTCAGCTAAGCTGATTAGCACAGCACAGTGGATTCCCGCGCCTCAGCTCTTTTACTTGCTGGGCTGCCCTAGAAGGTAAGCTGTAGTGCTTGAAATTAGTGTATTTTAAACGCTGAACGTGTGCATGAAGCACGCTCTCACAGAACCGGTAGTAAAAAAAATTGAATCCTATTACTGCTTATAACAATAGAAAATCCTTTGTCTCTCATTTCTTTCAGTCTGTGTTAGATAACTCACACTTTTAACAGTGTTCAACAAAGACACTACTGAATTTTCTCAAAGGCCAATCAAATAAGACTAGCATGTGGGCATTCTGATGCAAAAGTTATTATGTTTCTGTGTTCGGGAGACTTTCCAAACATATACTATGGAGCCAACATGATGTAACCCACGTGCAAGAAGGAAGCAACACAAGTCTGAGTAGAGTGCAATGTTTTCAGGAGGACACAAATATTAAGGAAAAGGGGGAAAGGAAACTCCTAATAGCCCAGTGAGAATTGGACCGGATCCATGATGGGGAGGGAAGGAGGCCAAGAGTTGGAAAACTGGGTGGAGAGATGGAATCTCTTTTAAAAGGTGTGGCTGGGGACTATATATTATAGTCCACACTATAATATAATGTTAACTTTGGAAACTATGCCTGGGAAATTCTGGGAGCTGAAGTCCACATCAGTTAAAGTTGCTAAACACTGCTATAATTTTTATTTGTACTAGGTCCCATTTCTGTTCTGTTTTAATATTAAATAGAATATTAATATTACTTAAATTTAAATCTCATTTTACAACAACCCACAAAATTGTTAATAAACAGCTCTTCCATTCTCAGAAGCTTCAAAAGCTGGATTACGTTTAGCTAACATGGTTGGCATTCAGACCTTTACGGTAAGCCACCTAACCTGATTCTTCGCCCATTTTTTAAAATCTAAATCTAAATGCTGCTTTTAATTAAAAAATTAGCTTTGTCTTTTTCCCTGAATATTTTCTTTCTCCTGATGCCATAAAGCCTGTGAAGCAAAAGATAAACTTTCACAATTATAAACATAATTAAATTTCAAAATTACCCTAAATTTATGTTGACCTTTTAAGACATTTGAGACATCTGGTCACATTTAACTGATGTTTTAAACATTACACCTTGTTGTGATGATAAAATGTGATTGATATAATACCAGAAACTGGTCACTGCGATCATTTTTCATTAGTGTCCTTAATTAGTCCTGCTTAGTTTGGACAAAAGTACAGCATTTTCTCCAATAAAGTACTGTTTTATGTGTGAAAACAGATATGATCCTTCAATCATACTTTTGACTAACCATCATTTCCTCCATGTACAGCAATTTATTTTGCTATTAATAACATTTTTACAGTAAGTTAGGGAGAAATTCTATGTTGACATTAAATATAATCCCTATTGAACTTAATTGGAATTTTGAATAAACGTGTTCTGATATTTCATTTATTTTATTTATATATTTTTATTTATTGTCTACACACACACACACACACACACACACACAAAATAAACCAAGGTGCTACCAACTCATTTGACAACGAACACATTGGTTCTTACTTCTGAACAAATAATATAGATTTTGCTGTAAGATTATACTCCTATAAATACTTTCTTGTGAATAATGAAGTGTCTTATGAAGTTCATGGGCTTGGTTCCAAGAAAGCTCACTACAGTGGCTTTCTGGGCAGCCAGCTACACAGACTTAACTATAGGAGTAAATCCCATTTAATTCAGTGAGACTTACTTCCAAGCTTAGGTTGGAATAAATCCTAGATTTACTAATGACTCATCTTCATATAAATAAAATGGACAGATGTAGATATTTTCCTTCTATCCTTTTACACAATCACTTCAGTAAAAGCAAGCAATTTGCTGTTAATATTTATCAGTGTCATCTTTTCCAACTTTGGTCCTTTGCTTATCTTGGACTTTATTATTCTTAATTTCTGGTCAATATATCCAATAGCAGATCTATTACTGCCTCTCCCACCCCCCCACCCCCAGCATAAGTGTAGAAGACACATAACTCTAACTCTCAAAGTTCTTGGATATCATCTCTACACTGAAATCCTGAAATCAGCCTGTAGCTGCTGTCAGAAAGCCTGATCTGAAATAAAAAGGTTGACTTACAGATAGTCCTCACTTAGTTCACTTAATGACCATTCAAAGTTACAATTGCACTGAAAAAAGTGACTTATGACCATTTTTCACACTTATGACTGCTGCAGCATTTCCATAGTCATGTGATCAAAATTCAGACACTTGTCAATTAACTTATATTTATGATGGTTATAGTATCCCAGGCTCATGTGATTTCTCATTTAGCCACCTTCTGACCAGCTACTAACTTAAGAACAGCAATGATTTTCTTAACAAGTGTGGCAAGAAAGGTCATAACATGAGGCAAAATTCATTTAACAATTGCCTCACTTATCAATAGAAATTTTGGGCTCAATTGTGGTCGTACATTGAGGGCTACCTGGGTTTTAAAGTTTTATAATTCCAAACAGAGCTGCTTTAATACCTGGAATGATCAGAAACTACACTGAGTGGTAGACCTCCAGATGAGGTGGAATAAAACAGTACGGACTTTTGACTCCCAACCATTGAACAATAGCTCTTTCGAGAGCTTTGGGGCAAGCCAGAAATATTCTGAATAAATTGAACAATTAATCAAGAGATAATAGAAGGAAATGTCTGCCCACCTGGATAAAAAAAAAATCTGAAGAAACCAGATTAAAATTTCAGATGTGAAAAAGTTAACTTTGTTTTTGCACTAGGAATATTTATTATTATTATTATTATTGTTGTTGTTGTTGTTGTTGTTGTTGTTAATTTTGCATTTGCTTTTGGATGATAGGTCACATGTTTCCAGGAAAGAAATATGCAGGAAATTTCACACACCTGAAAAGCACCTTCCCTCGTATTATAATATCGTGTACGAAAACAAAACTGACAGTTCAAACCGGAGCATCCTGCTCAGAGCAGAAGCGATGCTCGCCCCCATCCAGCTCGCCACCTACCGGTGACCGAAGGTATCAGCAGCTAACAAAGTTTAACTTTGAATGTTGCCGTCCCGCTTCCCGCAGTTTCCCGTAAACCGAGTGAATGATACAGTCATCTGATTATTATTTGGTCTCCAGACCATCGGAAAACATGTTGGAAAACAAGCTAGGGATGTTTTCAAAACAACTAGGTTTTTAAAACAACTAGGCGCGATAACTTTTTCTACGCGTTGTTCTTACACAGATGATCTCGGCGTGTCAAGCCGGACCTGTAGCTTCTGGAGCGCGCCGTAGGGAGAAAGGTGGTTTCTTTCATCCTAACCTCCATCCCCTCCCTCCCTCCATCCCCTCCCTCCGACAGAACAGTAAAACAGCAACCTGCAAAGCACCAGAACGAGGAAACGAACAGGGAGTTTCTCTTTCTTAGGCGTGCCTGTTAAAAAGCGCTCCAAGTTTCTTTCGGATGAATGAACTTTTACTTTCAGTTGGTCTGATTTCAAAGGGAAAGAGAAATTGCCCGACTTTTGTTTTGCTTTGATTTCACTTCAAGTCAGTTTTGCCAAAAGTGAAATCTTTTTGATTTCTTTGATCAGAACTTTTCTCATCCTCGTCTTCGCCCGCTTTCTAAACGAAAGCACCCCAAATAACCCACCTCATCCTTAGAACGAAAGAGATGGAAGGACGCGGGTTTCTAAGCACCTTCCCACCCGCTTAATACATATCCCATCACAACAGATGAACAAAAAGCAAAGACCCTTTTTTTCCCCCTTCCCCTGGACTTTTAGTCTTTTGCTTGCCCCACTCTTTTCCCCCGGTATCTCGCTCGCTCCCTACCTGCTTTACTCCAGTTTTTTTTCTACGCTCTTTCCTTCTTCGAAGAACTACACGAGAAAGAGAAACGGCAAATACAAGGGAGTGCGAACTCGCAACCGTGAGAATGGGCTTCGTAACGAAACGCGTGTCGTCGGGACGCCAGTCAAAGCAGAAGAGGTGCCGCCGCCGCCGCCGCTGCCGCCTTTCCCCGATGCTGGCTGGCAGCGATCGCCGCCGCCGCGACTCCCTGGCTCTGAGCGCCTCCTCGAACCTCTGGCTCCCCGCGCGGTTGCATCACCCCCTTTATATAGCCAGCGGACATCGCTGCTATTTACCCTGGCCGTGAGTCGAGGGTGATGTCATGCTAAGAATCCCTGGGGGAGAGCGGGACAGAGGGCGGAGCCAGGGCCGCGGGGGCGGGGTCTCCGAGTGACGCAAGGCCTTCCCTGCTCCCCGGGCAAAGGAGAGGGAAGGCCCTCGGCGCCCTCCTCCACGCAGTCTAAGGAGCCGCCGGTCAGAAGCGAGCACCCTTCGGAGGGGAGGGGGTCGCTCGTGAGGCAAGGGCTCCAGATCACTGCCGTCTCTCGAGGAGTATTCGGGGAAGCGGGCGGCGGTGTCCTCGGAGAGTCCGAGGGTGATGGTGATTGTCTCTCCGTCTTCTTTAGTCAGGCGACCGAAAGGAAGTCCCGGAGACGAGGCTTTGCCATTTTGTGCCGCTACTTTTAAAAAGGGACACGGGTGACTCTCACTTCTTCCTTCGAGGTCTCTGGCGCCAGGCGGGGTGTTTTTACGCGCGGAGAGAAAGATTAAGATGAAGTTTGCTGATCCATCTCCACCGCCTTATCAAATAATAAGGCATCTAACGTGCTTCTAGAGAGTCGCCGGTTTTCGTGTGGGGTTGTGTAAATAAAACCTGAGTCATTCAAAGCCACACTTTTCAGGCGTAACTATCACCAGTCAATCCCACCCCTGCGCTAAGAAAATGGTTTGTGGAAACAGCAGAGATCAGAAATTGGAAGCGGAGGGGAAGGAAGCGTGCGGAATAATATCCACTCTCTAGCTACGACCGGCCAAATTGTTAAAATAAAGCCATTTTAAAGTCCCCGCCTCTCTTTTTACCCAGATTGGATTCTCTCTCCACCCCCCCCCCCCCCCCCCCCCCCCCCCCAAATTCTCCCCAATGGTTTTCCCACTTGAGTTTCCAACCATATGAACATGCTCTTTTCCCCATGTGTCTCCTTTTTATTGCCACATTTCTATCTTGCCTGGTTTTATTAAGGATGTTCGCACAAAAAAACCCCTCCTGTTAAATTTGCTTTTGAGTCCTGGACAAAGAGAAGGCTGCTCCGGATCCATTCTTAACTATGTTATGTTCATAAGGTTCCGCCGTTGTAACGGGACTCTCAGCCTCGCATTGCAGCAAACACCTCGCACACCATTCTTAAAAGAAAAGGCATGATCTCGATTCGGACGAATGTCTATCCGTGTCTTAGTTCAACCCTCTAGGAATGTTCTGAAAACAAAATTCTCATCTGAGAATATTTGAGCGACCTGCTTTGAATACCACGTGGATATGACATCTCCCCAAACACACACACACACTTTCAAACGATTTTCCACCCAACTACTGCAAGTTGGGAGAGCGACACGAGGAAGACAATTTCGACACTTTTCCTCCCCGTTTTCTTGCACCACCACGAGAATAAACGAGGATGTAGGTTAGCTGGAAGCGATGCGCTGACGTATTTCCGTGGGAGTGGAGCAAAGGGCGCGTGTAGGTCAAAACGTATCTCATGGGGACTCGCAAGTTTTCGGGTTTCCTTTCTTCTCTCTCCTCGTTGTTGGCTGCGCTTATTTTAATAGAGTTATTTCTGGGTAACTCTGCTTCAAAAATGAGAGTATTCTCCTCGGACCCCCTATTTTATTTACAATGGATACCAATAGCTAGTCTTCCATTGGGTTAAATGAAGCCTTGGACTTGCCATGCACATTTCCAAAAGGATAAACTCAGAGAGGCCTCAGCTAAAGCTCTCTAAAGACACTGAGGGTTGGCTTCAAATATTAATCATACTAATCAACCTTTCAGATGAAACAAATGTAAGTTAGTTTGACTCATCGGTTTCAGTGGGAGATTCTGTAGGTTGCACTGAACGGTTGTGTATGATTCCTATGAGAAGTTCTTTGTAAGTGGGGACAGAATTACATCCAAAAGCTTATTTTTCGTTGAGGTCATTTTCATACTAATAATCACTTATAACATTTGTAAATGTAGAAGGCATTATGAATTAATGGTCCCTATATCACTTTTGGTATTCTGAGCCTTTGACTTGGGAGTATAAAATTAACATTGCTTTGTATTGCCTTGTATTTTAAAATCGCTGCCATGTTTCTTGCTTTTTGGTACTGTGCATTTAATATTTATTATTTATAGGGGAAAACATGAAAAATCATGATAGTGTGGGAAGAAATGTTCATCTGGTTCAGTTCCAAGCTGTGAGAAAGGCAGTGACAAAATAGAGGCTGATTGGAAAGAGTGTTCATTTATTGATGATGCAGGACCACCAAGCACTTGTGATTCTGGACAGCTGACCACATGGAGTTAAGAGTGGAAGGGTTTTATACCTTCTCCAAGCTTTGCACTTGAGCTTCCTGTTCCTGTGCAACAACATATATTCTATTGGCTTTTGTCAGACTCCCAGGGGGCCATGTAGGAGTTATGTAGGGTGATGCAATGTCTTTAGGAGATTGTGCAATGTAGTAGGCTCTGTGGCTTAGTGGGTTAATCTTATTATGTCCTGAAGAGTCATTTTTAATCCCTTCACCCTGGAGTTGAAGGTCTTTTGTTTTGTTGATAGGCTGGCCCAATCTTTCTTAATGGGCACAAAATATCTAGTGTGGGCAGGGAGCTGGGGCTCTGAGTTTCTATCTCTCTTAAGATTTTGTAGATCTCTTTTAGAGAAAATATTTTATCCTGCCTTTTTTAAAATATTCCTCAAAATATTTTATTCTTCTAGGGGGAGATGCTAACATTCTACAATAGCATTGGAACTGGTGTACAATATTTAGTTTGTTAGTCAATATATATGGCTGACCTTCTTGGAACTGACTCTTGATGGCTAACAATAAAGTTAGTTAAAAAAAACCCACCAACAATAACAAAAACCAATATATCCTCAGAATGTAGTTGAGGGCAAACTTACAGATACAATGGCATCTGTCTTGCGTGCTTACCGAGTTGAGTTACTGTAAATATGCTGGTCTTGTGAATGGGCTAGTTTTGAAATTTTTGGCCAGATTTACAAATTACACTTAAAGTTTTGTATTTTCCATTAAAAGATATAGACTAAATTATTGTAATATATAGTATAATTCAAATAGATTATTACCTAGAACTGAAGATTTACATGTAGTGGTGACAATTGGAGAAACGCCATGGTTTTGGTTTACTTTCTTCTGGAGTCAGCTCTTCTATGTTCCATGACTGCATTTGTCATATTCATATTCATATTCATATATATATATATATATATATATAGTTATATATATATATATATATATATATGTGTGTGTGTGTGTGTGTGTGTGTTTGTGTTTTCTTAAGTTTTCGCGGGTACTTACATGTATGGCATTCAGCTTTGTTCGGGTATTTTCCCACGTCATTGTAGTTGTACTTTTAAAGTTGTAGCAACGTTTCATTAGAATCTCATCTGCCATCATCTGTACAAAAGCCTGTTGATGGCAGGTGAGATTTTGCCAAAACGTTGCTACAACTACAATGACGTGGGAAAATACCCGAACAAAGCTGAATGCCATATATAGAGAGAGAGTCTGATTTGTTTATTTAGGTTTGAACACATTAAGAATTCACCCACTTAAGGAAAATGTAGCTTAAAAATATCAAATTGTTATATTGATCCTAGAAATAAATATATATAACAGTTAATAATGGCTCCATTTATTATATTTACTATTGATGTATAACAGCCTTATTTGTCAAGAAGAATGGAAAGAAAGAAAAATATTTAACTTGCATATCTAATTATATATATAAACTTATAATAAATAAATTTCCATTCTGTGTCATTAAGGCTTTTCCAGAATTAGATTGTCTGCAAACTTATGTAGTTAATGCAATGTATAACTTTTTCTCTGTTTATAACTCTCGATGTGTATTTAACTTATTCTATTTCATCCACCTGATAATCCTAAACCTGATTTATTTACAAATGAATCATACTGATTTTCACTGAATTCTCCTGTAAATAAATCTTCTGCCTAAGGCAACAATCTTAAACTTTCTTTATAAAGCATTATTTAACATTCAGTTAAACTTAATTTTAATGAAGTACATTTGGCACATAAGTACATAAAGTATAATCTTGCCTTCCCAAAGCATCCACTCTTTCTGTGAATTGTTACAGAACAAATAATGTCCACGTTAATTTTTATAGATTATAGAGTTTTGCTTGACAAAATAAATGAAATCAAAGAATCGTGAATGTAGTTGAAATATAGTTCTCAAATCATAATTCCCTTTCCTAACTGAAAAAGCTCTTTTTAGTTTATCATCTTAATAGGTTCTTAACCTATTAAGAATATCGGGTATAACCAACTGAGACTATTGTTCTAACTCAGTATTGTCTAAGATGACTAGGAGCAAGTCTCCAAATTTTCAAAAGAAATTTTTCCCAGCTTTCCTGGGATAATGAAGTAATTGAACATGGGACATTCTAAAAACAATGTATGATTGAACTACTGAACCACGGTTGCAGGTTCCTCACAACAAAACAATATTGAAAACTCTCCTACCACTTCTACAACACTCTACAAAGAATCTCAAGACCAGAAACTCATTACTAATTTTCTTCAAAAGAAATTATTCAAGAAGCATGGTCGATTATTTATATATTTTATTTATCAATGTGTATATGCTTCCTGTCCTGATTCTAGGCAGTTTATGATGTATGAACAAGCATTCATAAAATTATAAAATTTATTCATAAACCCAATAAATCAAAGTTTTTAAAATTATAAATACTGTAAGCCCTGTAGCTGCTACCTAATAGAGGACTGCTTTTCTCATTTTCCAAAACAGGGTAAAGGTACACCCAATCTTGGGGAGCAGTCTGTTCCAGAGAAGGTGGCCACTACTGAGAATGTCTGTCTCTGGATCCCAATCATCTTAAATCTTTCAGGTTGGGTGGCCAGATCATCTTAGGGTATCTTTTAGTAAACAATAGAGTCATGCACCCAAACCTATACAACTCTTGTTGGTGG